GTGGGGCCTGCCCGGGAGCTGCGCTCGGATCTCGGACTCCGGAGAGAGCTTGCTGTCCTTTAGGCGGTTGTTGGATCACGGATTACTCGATGATACAGCTCAGGTGCTGTGATCTGCAGCACGCTCTGACTCGCCGTACAGCCCAGGCTGGCGTGTGCAGGAGGTGCGAGCGCGCAGTACCTGAAAGTTGCAGAGTTGAGCAAAAGCAGCGTCTTGCGGACCTCGGGGTGAATGGTGCCGTGACAGACAACGTGGTGTAGCCCTTGGTACTTAGGGAAAGCCAAGGGTGTGATGGATTACAAATCTGTTATGTGTGCCGGTGTTATGCGTTATTGGAGACGCCTGAGCAGTATGAGTTCCCTGTCTCTGCCAGCCCAGACTGTGCATTCGCTTTGTAAACGAAGATGGCGTAGACTGCAGTGCAAAATTAAGACCAGTCAGTTGAGTGTCCCGATTTCTGAGAGCAGTGGGCTTTGGATTAGGAAGAATGGTCTGATGTGAGTGTGTGTAGCACATCTGTCAATCACAGGGTCACTGTCAGGGAACAGGCTTAACCTTTACTTGAAGTCCAGTTTGTGAGGGTATGTGAACTGAGGGTGGGATTAAAGATACTTAAAATTGCTTCTGTATGTCTTAATATGCTTCACGTGTGTAAATAATAGAGAGTAGTGTGTATGAGTTACAAGCATTTCTCAAACTACTGTTTTTCTTCATGCAGCCAAAATGAAGTTCAATCCATTTGTGACCTCGGACCGCAGCAAGAACCGCAAACGACACTTCAATGCCCCTTCTCACATTCGAAGAAAAATAATGTCCTCCCCGCTGTCCAAGGAGCTGCGGCAGAAATACAACGTCCGCTCTATGCCCATTCGGAAGGATGACGAAGTCCAGGTAGCTGTGCCATCTGATTTTTAAGTTGTGCCGTCACATGTGAATGTTTATGTGTGTTCTCATGTGTAGCCTGTGCGAAAGGGCAGGCGTAGACAAATTCAGATCGATGCTAGAGCTTTGCCATGAGTCTTGCAGGAATCATACAAGTTGATGTCACGCATAGACTTGGCACGTTGAGTGTTGAGGTCACATCAGTGAGAAGGGAAATACAAGGAGCACGAGCGTGCTGGCAGCTTTACTGCACTCTGGTTACATGCACCGAGTGTCGCGCTGCATTAAAGGCTTTTAACAGTGAAGCACATAACAAAGAGTTGTTTATTTTCTTTTTTATAGACTCTCTGCTACCTGTGAGATCAGTTTAGAAATGAATCCAGGTTAAGTGGCTTTTCTGATTTAAAATGCAATGGTAGGTGAAAAACTGATTTTAAAATGTTGAAGTTGACCACTATCCTGAGTGAAAAGATTCAGAGTTCCTTTGTTAGGGTTTACTGCAAGGAAAATGAGGGAAAATTACAGTTGTGGTCCATGATATTTTCCATTTTAATGTTTGCTGAAGTTGTCCAGTAATTGGTATCTTTGTCGCAGGTGTACACAAACTGCAGGGGTGCGCTTTCAGCCTGTGCAGTTCTGGTTTTCTGTTGGGGTTGACAGTGTTTCTTGAGACACAGTAATTGGTTTAGGGGATGTTTTTGAAGCGTGGGACAGTGCTGCCTGTGGTTGTGTTTAGGTTGTCCGGGGACACTACAAAGGACAGCAGATCGGCAAGGTGGTCCAGGTGTACAGGAAAAAATACGTCATCTACATTGAACGTGTTCAGCGGGAGAAGGCCAACGGCACAACTGTCCACGTGGGGATCCACCCCAGCAAGGTACGGCGGGAGGAGTGAGACTGGAAGTGTATGAGGAGACCTTGTTGTGGGCACCTGAAGATACTGCTACCTGCATGAGTAAAACCTCGTTATGGCGCAGGCAATCATGGATTGAGATCCTACAGTGTTGGGGTCTAATAAACAAGGGAGTGTTACTTTGCCATGGTCATAGAGAAGTGACAGTTGAAACCAAGAACTCCAGGGTGTTTCTAGGGCTTATGTGGTGGAGAAGCTGCTAGAGACTGCAGAGTCTTGCTGAAACACCTTTTCTAAAGAGCTTGGTGTTTTTAAAGCACAAAACATCATTTAGAAGGGTCCTTCATGTTTGCTGTGTGACATTTGAACTGATGAAGGGGGTGTTAGAAATGTTTAGATAGATGCCGAGAAACATGATCCGTTCATGTGGGCTATTGAAAACTGAGTTCTTCTGCATCTGGTTTTAGCCTGAAGTGATTTACAATGCTCAGAGTTTGTGAAAGCCAGGCAAAGCCTGTTTAGATCATAATAGGAAAACATTTCCAATTAAACAGAACAACTAGCCAAAACCTGAAGCTGATGAAATTAGTCTGTTTCAGCCTTGCCATGTGGGCACACGTGCTGAAGGGTTGGTGGAAGAAATCCAGTCGGAACAGGTTTCAGATCTAAGTGGCTGGTTTGTTCAGCAGAGGGGGAGCAGAATTATTCCAAAACAACATAATGGCTTGTGTGCAGTAATAACACTGGAGGGACAAGGTGACATTGCGAGGGAACCAGTGCGGATATTACTGCTGTGGTAAATAGCAGTGCAAGAACTTGGTGTTTGTGCTGCTGCTTTAGTTTTGTCTAAGTTTTGTCTAATTGGGAATCAGACCTTGGGAAAACTTTGCGTGAAGATTCTGGTTATTAATGGGAAAGGAGCAGAAAAATTTTGTTTGTTGCAAACTTGCAGTGGGGTGGATGAACAGTTTCTACCTCTCCTAGGTGAAGAAGTGGGAATTAATTACAACAGAGACCTAAATGCACAATGAAACTGAGGAGTGTGCAGCCCTGCTGTAGCCCAGATGGTTTTTCTAGGATTTGATTGTGTTAGTTGAATTTTCAAAGTACTCGTTTCAGTAATATCAAAGCATTTAATTTTTTGCTAGTTTAGGGGACACAAGGAGCACCGAAGGCTGCTCATGGATGAAAACCAGAGCTTAATTTGCTGCTGCTCTGTTAGGAAATACCATTAAAGCTCTACCAGAGCAAATGGTCTGTGCAAATTACCTTTACGTGTCCACGTCAGTAATACTGGTAACTGCCTGGCCACTTCGCAGCTGTTCAGTAGCAAATGTGTTTAAAGTGTCTTTATATGAGTCACTGTATGCATGAACTTTTACTGTTGCCTGTAGTTTAGCCAGATGCGTTGGCTGTTCCAAACGCTGCAGCAGTGATGTGATAATGGCCAGCAGCAGCAGCGTGGTTTTCCAGTGTTGTCTGACATGTGGAGAAATCAAAACAATGATCCACGACTTGCCTTTGTGGTGGTGCGAAGAAGATGCAGCTGTAGGCTGTGTTTTAGATGTGGTATCCATCACGTCTGAGCAGCATAAGGGAAATTTGATTTACTTCAAAGTAATTATTTTATTCTGTAAATGGATAGAAATTTGGCTGCTCTTGAGTTTGTCCAAATGTTGTGGCTGTGCGGTGAAAGAAACGCGCGTGTCGTCTGATCCCTGAATGTACTTGGAAAAACTAATATAGGTCAGTGCTTTGAAATACAGAGGCAATTCAGTACCTCTGTTCTGCTCAAACCAAATTAGATGGTCTGTGGAAATAAAACGGGGGTGCCTCGGCACAGACGGACAGTGGTGATCTTCCTGGGCTGTGCAGTGTTCCACGCTCCTGTCAGGTTGCTGTGCTTTACCAATGACAAGACATTAAACTCTCTCTTTTCTCCAGGTGGTGATCACTAGGCTAAAACTGGACAAAGATCGCAAGAAGATCCTGGAGCGTAAAGCCAAATCTCGCCAGGTTGGCAAGGAGAAGGGCAAATACAAGGAGGAAACAATCGAAAAGATGCAAGAGTAGATGGTTTTCTATTTTACACCATTAAAGAACTGCTAAAATTAAACCTATTGCCGTGTCTTCTTCATTAGAAAGTCTTGATAATGGTGTTTAAATATTTAAATATTGTTTGGTGTTTAAATATTCACGCTCGTGTTTTGATGTTTGCTGTGTTAAAAATATTTCCACCAAATTAAAAAGCTGTTTATACCGTTTTTTTTACTTCGAAGAAAACGAAAGACTTTTTTCCCGTAACGAAATGTTTCAACCCGTGTTAGAAAGAGGAGTGCAATCCTGAAAGCTTGCATCTAATGGCCGGGGTGCTTCTGTCTCCTCCACTGACCTTCAGCGCTTACTTGGTTGTGTCCACAATTTGAAATGAACGTGTTCATTCTGTGCACTGTACACATGTAATATTTTATCAGGCATTTAAAGTTAGCTGTTTCTGGCTATGAATCTTTTTCTGTAATTCTCCTAAATTACATTTTTCCAACTGTCTTATGTATTTGACAGTGAAAGATGGCATTTTAGAGGCTTGCCAGCATACTGTAGCCAAACTCAGCACTGGATTTGCTCTGTTTAATGCTAGAGCTCAAGGACCCGTTTACCTCCCAGTGCTCGTGAGGCAGAGCTGTCTGGTTTGAAAAGGGTGGCAGTGAAGGCAGCCTCAGGGCAGTTGCTAACACGATTCTGGATGAACTTTTCTGTAAGAGGAAATTGGATTTTTAGAGCTTTATGCATACGTAGTTGAGAGCTGCTGCGGTGTGCTGAAAACAACCCTGCAGTTAAGTGCATTTACCGGCTCGGTGCTCGGCCGTGTAATTGCCGATACAGAGGGAAAGAAATTCAGCTCCTGCCCGTACCAGCAGCGCAGCCTGGAAAACGGGATGCTGAGATCGTGGGGAGTTCACGTTTGAGGTTCGAAGTAATTGATGGACGTTAATGTGATGGCTGCCTTAGAAGGCGGGCTTTGAATGTTGCTGCTTTCATGTAGGTTCAGAGGGCTTGTCCCTTGCAGTCCCCGTGTGCACTTGAGCTGCTAATGATTCTTCCTCGACCCCGAGTTGAGCCAACGAGAAGGTCCCCGGGGTTTAGCACTGCCCGGGCGGTCCCTAGCCGGGGCTCTCCTGAAGTGGCCCTCTCTGTCGCCCCGGTGTTTGCCGAGCTCAGAACCAGCCCTGGATCCCTTTTATCCCCGGTGACG